GGTGGTGGACCTTGATGTCAGTTAAAGTTCAATAAACAGAAGCCAGAATATTGTTTCCTTTTTTCACTTCTGTTATATATCTTTCGGATATTTCTCTTATATTTCTTTAGCCAGGAATGTTTGTATCAAAGCAAAATGGATTAAAACCAGCATTTGGACAAACTTACACTTCAGGTTTCTTAATAGTTTCCACTGTAATGGCTTTGTCTTCAGCTGATACATATAGGGGTTCCTTCCAACATGCTGTAATAATAACATAATTATTTCATGGCTATAGAATTTTGAAGAATTATTAAAATAATCCCTCTTGCACATCAACATGGTCTCTCGGACAATGACATTTATATCAATAATCTACAATTAGCAAAATCTTAAGTTGATTCACCCTCCCGCTACAATTAAATCAAGAGAGAAATTGCCCACATTGTCATTGGCAGACTAAAATATAATAATGAGTCTTTCGTGAGTCTTAAAGAGAATGTCAAAAGGACATTCCGATTCGCTGATAGTTTGCTTGGTGTATTTGGAACAGCAAACATAACATTTTCCTTTCAAACTACACACGCACCCTCCCACATATTCTCATTTCTATTTCATATAATATCAAAATAATACAAATTATTCTTTAAAATACACTTCCTTTTATCATAATAACATAATTCAACAGACTTAGGTTATCTCAAACGTACCTACTTGAAAGACTGACATAATATTTCTTTGCATCTTAATAATTCGATCTCTAAGGACCTACCCATCGGTGTGTTTGCTTTGTGTGGGTGTGGGTGAGTGTGTGTGTGTGTGTGCACGCGCGCATGTGAGTATTTGTGTGTTCAGTAGCTTTGAATTTCCATCCCTTGTAGATACGTTACATTATTTGTATTCACCTTGCCATATTAATAATGTATGTATTTTGTTGACAGTGTAGGGCCCCGCTCACAAACTTAGCTTAGCTTTTAAAGGGGTCCTAAGACCATTCATTTAATGATGTAATCAATTTAATGGACTATAACCAGTTCTTTTTTATGTTAAATGTTATATCATGTTTTGTGTATACTTGAACTTGAACTTGAACTTGAACTTGAACTTGAACTTGAAAGCCGGGGTAATGATTGCGGAGCGCCAGGAGTGTCAAGTATTACATATATGAGCGCTGTACAAGAACGCACTATTATTACTATTATTACAACTCGTAAGTTACATTCAATTGTTTTGTGGAATGAAATCAGTTATAATATAAAACAAATTATAAACCCTTCGCTTACTTCCCAACCCCAAACAAAACACCACCCACATATACGAAAGAACACACACACAGCCGCACACACCCGCATCAAATAAAACACAGGCACACAGGATTGAATTTAACGACACTTAAAATATAAGATAATTTAATGAATTTTAAAAATGTTCAAGCTTGAGTATATAGAGGGCAGCACACGGACGCCGCCATTATCTCCCGAAGAAAACTCAGGTTTCTGAATACCGCGCGTAATACCATAATTATCGTACACAATGTAGTCCTAGGAAGTCTGCATGAACATTTGCAGTGTACGTACAGTGCATTCAAAGTGAAATATCATGTACGCGTACGCTGCGTGCTCGCTCACGTGATCTAACAACGCCCGGATATTGACCATTATACATAACATAATCTTCGAATTCCCATTAAATATCAAATAAAACTTCCAAGATTAAATTGTAAATACATTTATTTTACAGAACTATTAAAAAGTGCATTTTTAAATGTATTCAATTAATCACACATAAGTAAATTTGATATTTAAAAACTAAATTACAAACAGTAAATCGAACGTGAAGTAGGCAAGTTGGCGATCACTATACAGTGCGTCCCGAAAAAAACTATACACTTTTGAAATGGCTGCTGAATAAAAAAATATATAATTCTTGGGGAAAAGTTTTATATGTGTGGAAAGCTCTTAAACTCAACTTTCATATGACACCAAAAAGTCCGAAAATAATTCATGCTTGGTTGAGTACTGCTCACTTTTGTAAAGGGTATGCAAATTAGGTTGCGCAGGAATTGGCTTTCCAATTTGTGAGAGGTAAATTCTTTGGAGCTTACGGAATTGAGGATGATATGACTAATTTATGATAAATTTTGATGAGTTTGGGTTTGCTGAGTGAAATTTGTGGTTTATGGATGAGTGAACAGGAATTGCATTTGTTATTACCGTATAGCAATGTAACTTTCCATGGTAGACTCAGTTAAGTGTTCATGGGAGTCAGGACGGGGTGATGGTACATGGTGCAGGGAAGGTGAAATGTAGGGTAGGACTTTGTTTGGTAGATTGGATAAGGGTCAAGAGGACATGTATGCCCCTTCCCCTCTCTTTCTCTCTCTCTCTCTCTCTCTCTGCCTGGGTGTGCTTGTGCATAACTTGACAATCCATTACATTCAGCTATCAATCACTTAATCAACAATGTACGGTATCAGCCAATCAGTCAATCAATTAATCAATCAAGCATTCAATCATAATTAATCAATAACTTAGTCAATCACTCAATCTATCAACCAACCAACCAGTCATTTTAGCACTTGAGTTTATGTAAATGGTAAATGGGTAACCTGAAGAATAAGTAGCCAACATAATTATGTGATGTTCCTCTTTTCAACAAAGCGTATTTGAATAATCAATTTACATAATCCCCATCTGGTTATTAAGTAAATCAATGAGATGTTCAACGTATCTTACAATAACTGAAATGTGGGGTGAAGGTTTTTATTCAAAGTCACAGATGTAAAAAATAACAGTTTGTAAGATGGAAATTACAACATGTACCATCACCCCATCTTGACTCCCATGAACACACCTATCCACTGAGTCTACCAGGGAAAGTTACAATGCTACAATAAAAAATGAAATTCCTGTTCACTCATGCATAAAAGTTTGGTTTTATAAACCATGTAATTCACTCAGCAAATCATGAATGTATCATATCACCCTCGATTTTGTAAGCACCAAAGGATTTACCTCTCACAAATTGGAAGGCTAATTCCTGCGCAACCTAATTGTCATACCCTTTACAAAAGTGAGCAGTGCTCAACCAAGCATGAATTATTTTCGGACTTTTTGGTGTCATATGAAAGTTGAGTTTATGAGCTTTCCATCCATATAAAACTTTTCCCCCAGAATCATATATTTTTTTATTCGGCAGCCATTTCAAAAGTGTATAGTTTTTTTTGGGACGCACTGTATATCACTGAGCCAACAAGTATTACGCTCCCGTGCGTAAAAAAATCCGCAAGATGGTATAGGTATCGCTCGTCCGTGTGCTGCCCTCTATATACCCCTGTTTGAGCAACTGAAGATGGCACCGTTTCTAGCACTACCGCATGGATTGGAATCGATAATTCCTAATCAAAAATTTGCGAAATTTACATTTTATTTAGCGGGAAAATAACTGAGAAAAAAATGTTATGGTTACGCTATGATCACAGAACCACGAAAATCAAAGGTCACAGATCCTTCAGCGAAACCTGCATTGGCCACTTTGTGACGTAACAATCGATCGATGAACATGATTTATATAAACAAAAAGCATTTAGCTTTTTACAGCTGTAGATTATTATACAAATAATGAATGGTTGTGAGTTCAATAGTGACGCCTCGTTGAATAGAATGTTAATCTTTCAACTCATGAAAATATTCGCACTATTGAACGAATGAAAAACATTCGTTATTTGATTTATGCAACATCGAAGAAGATCTAATAGAACGTTAATCAACAAATTACTCCTTATATAAAAGATAAATTAAAGTTGGAGTCAAGCCTACTCGATTACGTGCATTCAGATTCCCTTCGCGTCAGATACACGCAGGGATACGCGCACGGCAGAGAGGTACGCAGTCGGGATATAACCAAAAATGCACGCCCGTGCAATAGAACATCTATTGAATATCATGAGACCAACAATCCTCCAATCAAATGACAAGGATCCACGTAGGTGCTGTATAATAAGTCATATTTAATGTGCAAGTATTTACAATAAATTTCGTGTTATTTCAACTAGGATGCAAATTTGTAATGGTAGTAAGTTTGCTTCAGATATTTAAAATTAAATTTGACGATGCCCTGTCGAATTGTGGACTGAAATATATCATGGCCATCATGATCTATTCTAAAGATTAAGACGCGAATACATTATCAGAATGTCTTTTTACGCTTAATTATAGAATAGATTACTATTAGATCATTTCGTTATTAAAGAAACGTCTGATACAACCAACAACAAAGAATTAAACCTAATGAGCCACATCCAGCATGGTTTGAGAAAAAGATTAAACAAAATATTAATCCAAGGATAGTAGTAAGAAAGCTTGGTTTCAAAAATCCGGAGTCCAGTTTTATAAAAACTTGCTATCAATACAAATGTCTAATATAAAAACTGTTACAAGCTAATGATCATCATTGAATTCGATTTGCCAGAGCAAGTTTGTCATTTAAATATTAGACTTGTTAGTGAACTGATATAAGCCTGAACATTAAGAACATTAGATCTGCGTGTATGTATTTGTAAAATATTAAAATTTAACATATTTGTACGAACATTACCTCAAGTTATTTTTGTTGATTGGCCAGAGCAAGTTTGTCATAGAACAGTGAGACTTGTAAGTCGTGACAAGTTTTATGAAACCTGGTCCAGCAGGTCCATGTGACCAGGCACGTACGCAGGGGGGGGGGCGTTAACCCCCCTTCATTTTTTGTTATGTGTACGTTTTATGGGGAACCCCCCCCCCTTTTGAGTTTTGAGTTTTTTTGTTTTTTTTAAATTAAATAAATAAAAATTAAAAAATCCTAAGAGATGACCTAAAAAAGATGACATTACCCCCCCCCCCCAACGGAACGAAATGTCGATCGATCAAATTTTCAATTTTTCAAATTTTCAAAAATAGTATATATATATATGTCCTCTTCCTCTTAGTATATATATAAATGTTCAATTTACAAACAAGTAAAATAAAATATGGAGAGATATACACATATGCAAAAGTAAAATACATACTGTAAGTCATTAAAGTCTATTAGTTCATGTCTGCCATCCGAAATTCAAAACATCCTCCCTCATCTATCCTTGTTTTTCTATACAAAAGTAATGCCTGTCGGTCTAATGCTATCCAAAACGACTAACCAGTTGGATTTACACGTCTACTTTATTTGGATTCCAGGAATCTCCAAAATAGTGGAGGGATCAACTAAGAAGAAGATGTTCTACTTTTGTACGTATTAGCTCATGATTAATAGTTAAAATAGGCCAAAGCACAGTTTTCCATTATTTTATGGTAAAACTAACTTGTGTAACAAGTTGGACATCAGAAAAAAGAAAAATCGCTGAGTCTAAATTTGAAAGAAAGCGGACAATAATGAAAATAATAACAATAAAATCTTGAAAATTTAGATCATTTGATCTGCATAAATGTAAATCTCAAACACAAAAGTTTTCATATTTGTACGAACACTGCCAAGGTTATCTTCCCAATTGATTCTCACACATTAAACGAATTGTGTATAAAATCATCGAAGAAGTTTTCCCCACCTTTATGACGTGGATTGTGTGTCCGGACGCTAAACAAAAAATAAAGATTTCACTTTTGCCATTGAATTTTAAGGAAAAATTTGAATCACATAGCACTAATCATGACAAATATCTGTCCTTTATGATATAGTCCAACAATTAAAGCCTCTGCAAATTAAAACCGGGGCAGTTTAATAAAAAAATCACATTGCTGTATTTACAGTTGTCATCAATTTTTAGGTTTATTGCGTCATTTCTGAATGAGTCTTAAGTTAAAAAAAAAGATTTAGGAAACACTGGCATTGCAAATATTGCACTTCTTGCTGTTTGAAATCAATTGTTCGATAACAAACCTGTCCGGACACACAACATGTGGGTTCATTCGTTCTTCATCGCTCAATTAAGGCTCAACATAGCGACATTGGCAACTTGAATTTTCTTCACATCACCAAATAGATGGTCGGAATCATTGAAAACGTTGAGAAGGGATTCAGAATCGAGAGCATACTTCAGTAACGTCATCTGCCCATCCTCGGCGCCTGAATGACTCATGTAGTAGGCCCCTTTGTAGAGTAGGATGTCGGATATTTTGTAGTCTGACAGGATCGCTACCTCCTTAGGATCGTTTCCATTCAAGTCCATTGTGATGACCTTGGCGTTGCCGTAGTCGCACACGCTTAACCGGTTCGCTGCCAAGACAAAGAGAAGTCTCGTTTACAAATTGTTGAATTGTTTCTCGTGTTTTTATGTTTGTAATTTGTTCGTGTTTGTTTGTTTGTTAAGTTATTTGGTCAGTTTCTTTGTTTTTAGATGAATGGCAAGTGTGGATGAATAAAATAGCTTCTCGCATTATTCCTACTCACTTATCTGCGCGTGAGATTGTAATTTGAAGCGCCATTATCAAAAAACATTTCACAAACAACATTTTACAAAAAAAACACTGTGATGAACCCCTCCGGTTTATGTCTTAATATGTGAACGAGCATAATTATTAAGAGGTAATATTCGAGATATATGGGGTAACTGGAAGTCTTATTTCGCATATTGAAATTACACTTATATTGAATTATATTCGATGTTAATAAATGACGATGCTGATAGAAAGAATTTAGTAATTAGCAGACAATCAAGATAGGAATTGCAAGCAAGTCGTGATTTTCAGCAAGTTTTCATCATTGTTTTTTAACATTTTGCTGATCGTTCCCCCTCCCATAAACACACACACACACACACCTACACCTTTCTCAGGCAGTGCCTCCACCTGACTCGTCCTTGATGCCTTGCCGTTTTACAAGAGGCGTAACTCCCGTTGCGTTATTATAGCAGCGTTCTTCGAGCCATGCCTGAACGCTATTAGCCCATACGTCAGTAATTCAACACATTGCTTGGACTATTCATGTTTCATTTCCCATTTGTACGATGTTACACTCACACGGTGTGGTAACGACCACGCCATTTCCTGACGCAGACCTACATCAACCAAATGACGCATCGTATGCAATGGGCGGACTGTTATCTCTTAAAGGGATTGGATAACTTTGCCTCAGATTCTGAAACAAAATCCTGAATTTAGCTCATGCGCAGTGATAATTATAAACCTTTAGGACAGTCAGGAGCCCCATGACTTTTACAAGCCTCTCGCCTATCTGATTATCAAGATATTTATGATTGGAAATCGAAATCAAATTTTGCGTTTTCCTACAACGGTTTTCATAACACTACAGTCTATTGGGGAAAACGAGTATGGTAAAACCGGTCACTCAAAGATTTTTACTTTTTTGAGGCACTTCTTGGTTATTTTGAAGCACAACTTTTGTTTAGGTCTTTAATATTACACCATATCACAGACACTGATAACACATAGGGCCGTCATCTCAGATTTAACATTGTTAAACAATGCCTTTAACTGACCTGGTACTTCTATTGCGATTGCGTCAATATCATTGACGTCAGGGTAATTGCTGTATAACTTGTCATAATTGGACTCAGATATATAATTCCAGCGGTAAACTCTACCAGTCTGAGTGAAGTACAGATATCTGTAAAGAAAGAAAATAATAATGTCGTGTACAGTCAATTTGTCCTCTCTATATAATACTCCCTTCACGTACACGGATTTTGCTTACGAGTCCTTACAGATCGCGCAAATTCACGGATCTTTCCCGGATCCTTACGATTGGCGACTTTTACGTAAGGACTTGTAAGAAAAATCTGTGTATGTGAAGGGGGTATTAAGAAGATTTTTGACATGGATCGGATCCTTAAGAATGTCTGCAAGTTGTTGCGAGTTGTGACAAGTTGTGACAAGTTATTTACGGATACCAGCGATTGAATACGAGTTGTCGATTCGTAAGGACTCGTAAGAAGAATCTGTGTATGTGAATAGAAAGGGGCTCATTTTATTGTAGTCGATATTTTTCCCTGACCAGTGGTGCTCGATTTAACGCTATACTGTACTAGAGGTAAAACCGTAATATTCCCTCTAGCGCAAATCTTTAGTCTTAAGCTTCCCTAGCTGATCATGAGACGGCGCTGTGCAATAAAGCACTACGCCAGGGTAGAAAGTTTATCAGTTCAGTATCCCTTTAATATGTCTGAAAGAAAAGTTGTAGGCCTATATCAAGACAACTGGTCAATATTTGCTTGAGCACTACATTATTAGCGAATCGGCTATTAATGAAGCGATGTTAATTTTGGTCTACCAGTAGTGTCATTGCGTGAGGAGATTGTGTTTGTTACAAAAAAGGTTAATATCACTAGTAGTAGTAGTAGTAGTAGTAGTAGTAATAGAAGTGGTAGTAGAAGTAGTAGTAGTAGTAGTGGTGGTAGTAGTAGTAGTAGTAGTAGTAGTGGTGGTAGTAGTAGTATTAGTAGTGGTGGTGGTGGTGGGGTGGTAGTAGTAGTAGTAGTAGTAGTAGTAGTAGTAATAGTTGTAGTGAGGAGGATGTGGATGATGCTCGCGACCAGAAGAAGAAGGGGGAGTGTCATCACGGCACGAAAATCAGTAAACTCTCGTAAGAGTTAAATGCTGACTTTAATAAAGGATGACGATGATGATGACGATGATAATGATTAGTTGTAGTAGTAGAAGTAACGCTGTTATTAGGATACTATTGTTATTACTTTTTATTTTCATCATTATTATTATACTGTAAAGAGGCTAATCTGCTTTTTAATTCTGTGAGGGAATTGATTCTTTCATCTTTAGCGGATCATATCATCGCTTGTCGAATTGGTTAATTCTTGTACAATGTATAATCGCATGACCAAAACTCAGTTCAACCGTCTCGTTAAGGGCAATCCAACACTTTTGATAAGTTGATTTGTATGAAAGCAGATTAAAAAAATAAGATAACCTGTAGTTAGAAAGTTTGAAATAAATCAGATCAATAATAAGTTAAGCTATGAATGCTTGACACAATTATGAGATGTTTAAGTCTATGTGGATCTCAAACTGACGGTTTAGACAGTGGATTGTGACGTAGCCGCTGATACTACTCTCCCATGTGACGTGTACAGAAATATAATTAATTTCTGTTTTCTCCTAAATGCCTTCTTCTTTTGGGCACTCCTCAAAATATATTACGGACAGCATATTATTATAGGTCCTCTAAGGAGAAAAGACCCTCCCGGGTTATACAAGTTTGTAAAATTGAAATCTTTAGTCATTTGGGGTATTGGGACGAATGGGAGACTGAACTCCTCTGTAAATACATTACATAGACATTACTGATGCAGTCAATTTGAATAGACCAAACCTATAGTGATAACAATTTTTTTTAATTCATAAACTTCTATTGTTAGTACGATTTCGTTCAAACTTTCACCAGTCTACTTTTCTGAGTTTTCTGCTCTTCTCTAGAGTAGTGTGCTATCAAGGTTGGATTTCCATTTAATTTGAGCATTACCCATTAGTTTCATCCAGTTCTACTGCGCTAGGTCTGGTCAGCTGGCCAAAAAGATTGATCTCCGAGTCTGGATCATCAAGATCAATGCGAGTAATCACCTGGTCCCCTAGATATGCACAGTAGATCTGGCCTCTCGATTCATCGATGGAGATCGAAGTTGGATCTGCAATACGATAATAATAATAATAATACAGATAATGATGATAAACATAATGGTAATAATGACAATAATAATAATAACCATAATTATAATAATGTTTACCCAAGGCAGCCTCATTGATATTAACATCATTCTTCCTGATGTTCCTGCATTCATATTATATAACAGTGTACAAGAAGAGGAAAGCGATAATCGTGTCGTCACGAAAATAGATAACCGGTATGAAAAGAAATTCCTTGAGAGTGCTTGAGCGGTATGATAGTTGGTAATGTCTTCTTTTAATCATTTACGTCAACTGATACCTGAGTAATTTCCGTGCGACACAGGTATTCTTTCTGTCATATCCCAGTTGCCACGGTAAATCTTGTTGTCAGTTTTGTTGGTCCAGTAGAGTTTCTGTTTGGTCTCATCGAACGCGATGTCCCACGCTTCGATAGGATCATCATCTTCGTTCAGGGCAGTGAACGTGTAGATCCCTAAGACGGCAACGTAAACCTTTCTAGCAGTGATATCCGTCAAAAAGATCTTGTCTTCACCCGTAACAGCATCATCATCCCCGGCTGCACGGAAAGAAGGTGGAAATTAAAGAAGTATTTAAAAGTGTTCATATTCATTGACACAAAAACTGTATGTTTCTGACGAGTATATAATTCATCTGAATAGCTGTTAACGATTCTTACTCTTGGTAAAATAATGTGTGAGTATAAAAATCATCTATTAAATTTTGGCTTTAGATATTTTCTGTAGAGTGTTTATGTATCGGCGCTGACGTAATAGATAGCCAATCCTGAGACAGATGACAAAAGCGCTGAAATAGCGCCGTCTTACATAATACGGGGTCGGTGCTGATTAATGGACAGGATTGCAGACGGATAGGTTCAATGTCTGGCTATACAGAGTGAGTCAGAAAAAATGTCCCACTTTTTAAAAGTTGTATTGTATGAAGTATGAATATTTAATCATGGGTTTCATGATATGTCTTGATAGAGTTATCGTCCCAGTACATTTGGGTACCATTGTCATTTGAATCTCTGCATGCATGACTGAACTTCAGACAATCTTTACAAGACTGCCAGATCTCACTTGCGCCAAGTTACTGGGTGAGGAATAAAACAGTGCAATGAACAAAGACAGTCAGACAGATTAAATATTCATACTTCAAACAATACAACATTTAAAAAAGTGGGACATTTTTTCTGACTCACTCTGTAAAGCGGCGCCGACTTCTTGATAAATAGGAATTGGCAACAGGTATCAATGGTACGTAAGAACAATGGTAAGTAATAGTAATGATCAATCGGGGTTTAGACCCATTTCTTGAATTGGATCAACGCTGGCTTATGAATAATAGAATCATAGGCCCCATACACCGACCTGTTATATGAATCTATGTTGTTCATCATCGGTGACTTAGGGTGTAGGATATCATAGTCGCCAATTTGGTAAAGGTATTAGCTGCGATTCATTCGGAGAGCGAAATACCGTGTTTCTTTGAAATATTCTTCAAAGATAAAACAACATTGGAGAGCCAGAAATATTTATCATAAAACAACATGGAATTGCTTTCTCTAAATGATGGTAACCGAATAATGAACTTGACCAGTCTCGTTCGACACTTATCCAGTTGTGACTGAACCTGCGCGCAGTGCATATACACTGATGCACTCCCAAACATGAATTGTTTGTTTATTGATGTCTGAAACGCATCGAAACGCGTCATAATTTATGACGCACATAAACCTCCTTTGTTTTTTGTCAAATTGATTTTTGTCCGAATTTTAGCACAAACTTGTTCCTTCGTAAAGGAATAACCATCATATTTTAAGGGCAGGGAGGTTATTGTAATCCCCCCTACCCCTCCCCCCCCCCCCCCCCCTCGGAAGATATTTCCAATCAACCAAGACCTTTCTAGTCAGATGGTATAAAATGTTACGTTTTGATAGACCTACCTATCGCACAGTTTACCCCTGTGTAGCCAAATGAGCAGTCGCATTGATGACCAGCAGCTGTCTTAAGGCATTCACCGCCGTTCAAACACATCAAATTCAGTAATCCACATGCAACACCTTCAGAAGAGTCCGTCGGGGAAACTAGGACTACAACGAATTGTTTTTAAATGGAACAGAAATTGAAGAAATTGAAGATTCAGAAGATCGTTCAATAAGCATATTAGGTGCGACTTTGGGGAGGAACAGACGATGAAACACAGTTCGCTCTGCCCCCTTCCTCCCAGAACCCTTTACCCAAAGACCTAGAAGTTTTCAGCTCCAACGCCAGATCACGCGTCCTCCACTGGACCGGCTTTGTGTAGTGACTCGAGAAGAAAAAGAATATGCATATGTAGGGATTTAGAACACACTCGCAATCAGCATTAGAAGGAGAAAAGAAATCGGAAAGATATAAATGATGGTAGTGATTGCGAGTGTATTTGAAGGGACAATGAGTTTTCCCTGTGCCCCATACATATATATATATATATATATATATATATATATATACATTATACAAAATAAAATACCAAATTTTTGACTCATTATTTCAGTGTTCGAAGGGGTAAGGGATTCATTTCACCTCCCCCGATAGATTTTCCACCAAAAAACAATCAATGAAAATGACGTTTTACTTGTTATCATGGGATTGACAAAGGTTGATACAATTGCAGTTCTGAATACTACTTTGTTTTGCAAGAAAAAACAAATAATATAAACCCAGACGTTGTGTGTCCGGACTGTTGATTTTAAACAGGGGTTTGGAGAATTTTAAAAGCAATATTTCATATCGGAGTTATGTTGGACAATATTATGAAGGACAATTATTCGTGGCGGCTAGTGGTTTTTTGTTAATATTTTTCTTTCAATCTGAAGGCAAAGGAGAAGGCTTTATGTTTGATAAGTGTCCAGACAGGCCTACCCCCCCCCCCCATCCCCATCATCCGCCATGTTGTGACCAAATGACACCAAGTTGGCCAAACTCTACGTATAGATGGCAATGGTTTCGACATACCTGTAACGCAGTCTACTCCTTCGTATCCGGAAGGGCATGTACAAATCGGAGCATCATTAGTCATGTCACATTGACCCCCATTGAGACAGATCACAGATCCACACAAATCTCCACCCACTGCGCCATCTACGGGGTTCTCTACAATTCATTCAAGAAAAAAGGGGCGAATAACACAAGAGTTGATATACATTTTCAATATGCACAATTAAAGGAGAATGTATTTACTAGCCACCAGGGGTGGATCTTGTAAAGAGGTGGGGCACAATACCAAAACATCTCTGACGGAAAGAGGTTTATTGCATTTTTAGGTGCATTCAAAGTAGCTTTAACACTTGAGATTGGGGGCATTCGTTTTTATATCTGTGCACTTAAAGCTATTCACGAAGATGGGACTGTAAAAAGGGGACCCAGGCCTGTTACACCCCTTCCATTGCTTATCGTTTTAGGAGGGGTGGGATGAAGAAAACAAGTACGTTTATTTGAGATGTAGGCGTAGTTGTCGGTCAAACCATAGTTAATTTTGAAGGGAAAAAAGAAGTCCAGAAAATGGATGCCATATACACTGAATGCGACGACGATGCTTGTAGAACTTGTAAGGTAATATGGTCAAGCTGCTGTTGCATAGATGCAATTCTACCCTCGGATATGGTGGGGGTTCTGGGATTACGAGAGTGCACCCCTGTTAGATACAACCATGCTCCCACACACGTCCTGAGTGGGGCTTATATCACGACATAATGTTTTCATCCGTTGCATCTTTATAAAAGTCAATGCATATCACAAAGAGGAAATATTATAACTAGATTAAATGTATCACTTCTTAGACTCTTAATCTAACGCTTACCTGCACAGATGACACAAACATCTTCATAGTGTTTACAATTGTGGTTCCTGTAACCCGCATGTCGACAGAAGGCGATATTGGTTTCATTTCCTACGCACTCGACATTGTCCAGGATGATATTCCCCGTCCCTTCTTCAAATTTGTCGGCACTTCTAAAAAAATCGGTAGCTTGTGGATATCCTAAAGATCGGCATACAACGTTGGAGTTTAGAGTGTTCCATAGATCATCACACACGGTACCCCAAGATCCCTGGTAGTACACCTCAACTCTGCCTTCGAATGCACCGTTTCCATTGACCAAACGGATTTCTAAAGGTTCTGTCAACGACATACAAACTTAATTAATACCAAGATAATATCAATGTTAGAAAAGCTACACGCGATATGCCGCACATATCCACACCAGTTGATGATTGCAGCTTGGCGGCTCCAACATTTACCATTAATACCCTGGTTTAGCCCAGCTGCCCTAAGCTACTTAGATCCAATGCTTAGATCATTCAAGGCTTTGCAAGCAATCAATTCTTACTATTTACTACACCTGGTTGAACAGAGGCAGATGGATATTAATACGGTCAAGCTGCAGCTGTTGCATAGATGCAATTCTACCCTCGGATATGGTGGGGGTTCTGTGATTACGAGAGCGCACCCCTGTAAGACACAACCACCATGTTCCATACAAGTCCTGCGTGAGCTAATACCATGATAGAAGGTTTTTATCAGCTGCCTCTTTATAAAAGTCAATGCATATCACAAAGAGGTAATACTATAGTTTTATTTTAGAGTAAATTCATCACTTAAACTCTTAATCTAACGCTTACCTGCACAAATGACACCAACATCTTCATCGTGTCCACAATTATGATTCCCGTAACCCACATGTGGACAGAAGGCGATATTGGTTTCAGTACCTACACACTGGACGTTGTCCAAGATAATATCCCCCGTCCCATTTCCAAAAACGTTGGTGCGTGTAACGTAATCGCCAGCTGCTGTAATATATCCTAAGGATCGGCACACAACGTTGGAGTTTACCGTGTTCCATAGATCATCACACACGGTACCCCAAGATCCCTGGTAGTACACCTCAACTCTGCCTTCGAATGCACCGCTTCCATTGACCAAACGCGTTTCTAAAGGTTCTGTCAACGATATGAAATTGAATAATAAAAGAATATACGTGCATACTGTGCACATATCCTCTCCAGTTCCTGCTTGAGGCGCCTATTATGCTTAAGGCGCCTTACTATTATCAACCTGGATTTAGCCCAGCTGCCCTAAGCCACTCAAAACATTCAGGCAACTCATTCTTATTATTTACTACACCTGGGTGGACAGCCTCACGGGTATATTAATTTCTTGCAACACGACGTTAGGGCATGGAATCAAACAGCAAACCATGTGGTCCACAGTTAGGGGACCTAACCCCCCAAAATGCATAACACCGAATGACCAAGACTGGATTTATCGGTTCTAGGCGTCCAACATCCAACTCCCTAAGCAATGAGAATTTTACTCAGTACAGTGGATGATTATCAGATCTTCAAGGTTCATTTGTTCTCGTCGCCATTAAATGTATATGAATTTTGGGGATTTTCTTTTTCTTCTACCTGCTGTACCTATACACCCACTGCAGCATTACCCTCCGTGTCCACGAGGACATTGACCCTCCACGTTGTCATTGGCCCTGTGGCATTAACTCCCTTTCCTACATACATATTAGAGTTCCACAAGGAAATTCCTCTGTACGGATTGAAGTGGACATGGGAAAATGTTCAAAATATAAATAATAGATAATAGATAATATCAAGCTTGGGTTTTGTTTACCCAGGGAGGCCTCATTAACTTCAATGCTGTTCTTTTTGAGAGCCCTTCAATTACGATTACCCCAGTAATTACCAGGTACCCGTTTACACTTGGGTGAAGAGTGGAAATTTGGGTTAATGTCTTTCCAACGTACGTTTAATAGTGCCGGGTTCGGATTCGAACCCTCAACCATTGGATTGAGAGTCTATTAATGAACCACTATACCAATACACCTCTTAATATGACAATAATTCTGGTTAGAAATTCGCCCGTAAAATACTGTCAATATACTACCGTTGTTTTTATGGTGGTTTTGTTGTTGGTGATGGCAAACTAGAATAGTAAAAAGGTCTGCAAGTTTTAGTTCCCTTATGGTAACCGACGTACCTATACCGCACAATATTGCAATGAATTTGTGACTCTGTTTAGAAATTTGCCCTAAAAGTAATACAATTTAACGATGTTGTTGTTGTTGTCATTGTTGTTATTGTTATCGTCGGCGGCGGAGTTGTTAAAGAGTCAGAATAGTATAAGATCTACAAGTTGAAGTTGCCTATGGCTATCTACTTACCAGTACCGCAGTCTTCTCCTGCGTATCCTTGCGGACACTGGCACTTCACGTTGCCTTCGGTCGTTCCGCATTCACCCCCATTCACGCACATCACTGATCCACACAGAACTCCTTCTGCAGAGGAAGCATAAATAATGCTGCAACGTATTTTAATCCAAACATTGCTAACATAAAAAGCTACAATGGAATCGCGATTTTAAACATGATTTCAAGATTTCGAATATCACGAGACCGTGTCCAACTCAAATAGGGAAAAACTGGATGTTCGAAGTATTCGGTTCATAGAACTTCGGTCGATTGCGCTGTAATTTGATTTTTAAAAAAATACACTGTATTCAAACTCCATGATGATTTGTCGTAACTGAATTTGAACTGTTATACATTTGTCTCAGAACTCAGTAAAATATCCCTTAAAAAATGAACAACGTTATTAAGGGCTTGTATGCTCATTCTCAACAGGAATCCTGCTGTATGATTTCTGAAATGCTTGGTTCCTATAAAGCCCACCCCCTGTCTCACACACACACACAAACACACACACACACACACACATTTATATAAATATATATATATATATATTTATATTTATTTATACAAAATCATGTCAATATCATTATACCTTTATAATGTTACGCCGTGTTCTATATCAAGACACAATTTTCTAAATATGAGTATCTTACCATTGCAAGTTCTTCCATCCATGTCCAACTCATAACCAGCAGTACAGGAACAGTTGAATGTACCTGGTATGTTCGTACAAACTCCATTAGTCGTATCACACGAGCCTGAATGAACATCACACTCATCGACATCTGTATGAAAGGGGAATTGAAAACAATCAAAACAAATTTTAATTGAAAATAATATTGAAGAATATGGTGTATCAAAGAATTCACGCTGTGCAGGTCCAATCATATGCTGTGTTGGACAGTATCAAACTAAGTCATACAATTTAGTGCCGATATCAATTTAAATGGTGGATTGAATAATTTATTTCATGCTGCCAAAATATGAAAGTGTGTGTTATAGGTATCTATGAATATTTCCGGCCTAGATAACCCATTAGGGTAAAAAAATATCCTTTAAAGCAATATTTATGTCAATATCATCATACCTCATAGACCTTGTGAATGCTTTCTAAGATTTATTTTCATGTATTTTCTCTTAATTCCCTTATTTTCTCTTAAATTGCTTTCATAATGTTATGCCGTATTCTATATCAAGACACAATATTCCAAATATGAATATCTTACCATTGCAAGTTCTTCCATCCATGTCTAACACATAACCAGCAGTGCAGGAACAATTGAATGTACCAGGCATGTTTGTACAAACACCATTAGTCGGATCACACGAGTCTAGATGAACACCACACTCATCGACATCTATATGAAAGGGGAATTGAAAACAATTAAAAGAAATTTTAATTGAAAATAATATTGAAGAATATGGTGCTTCAAAGAATGCATGTTGTGCAGGTCCAACAGAATAAGTGATACAATAAAATTAATTAATTAATTCCCTTATTTTCTCTTAAATTGCTTTCATAATGTTATGCCGTATTCTATATCAAGACACAATATTCCAAATATGAATATCTTACCATTGCAAGTTCTTCCATCCATGTCTAACACATAACCAGCAGTGCAGGAACAATTGAATGTACCAGGCATGTTTGTACAAACACCATTAGTCGGATCACACGAGTCTAGATGAACACCACACTCATCGACATCTATATGAAAGGGGAATTGAAAACAATTAAAAGAAATTTTAATTGAAAATAATATTGAAGAATATGGTGCTTCAAAGAATGCATGTTGTGCAGGTCCAACAGAATAAGTGATACAATAAAATAATGACGATATTAATTTAAAAGGTGAATAAGAAGATTCGATTCTTTTAGCCAAAATATTTAAGTGTGTTTAGTTATTTCTGAATATTTGTGGCCTAGATAACCTATTAGGGTTTAGAAATTTCAAAATATCCTTTTTAACAATATTCATGTCATATCATCATTCCTTATAGGCTTGTGAATGCTTTCAAAGATTTTGTTATTCCTGTATTTTCTCTTAAATTACCTTCATAATGTTATGCCGTATTCTATATCAAGACCAAATTTTCTAAATATGGGTATCTTACCATTGCAAGTTCTTCCGTCCATGTCTAACTCATAACCAGCAGTGCAGGAACAACTGAATGAACCAGGCAAGTTCGTACAGACTCCATTAGTCGTATCACACCAGTCTGAATGAACATCACACTCATCGACATCTGTATGGAAGTGGAATTGAAAGGAAAAAATGAACAAAAATAAACTCACACATAGATATTGAGTGAGCCAGATAAAATCATATCTGCATCACGTAATACTTCATTGTGATTTTCCAATACATGTATCTAGGTAATTGAGTAGTCTATTTCACTAACAATGGGTTGATTTTTCGAAAATTATGTGTCATCCTAAACCCTTATCTTGAGCATTCTGGTCTAAATTTCTACTTCAGTTTCTTCTTTCTTTTGTTGGAATCCGAGTAGAAGTATACCCAGCAGGCGGGCATTCTAGTGTAGTAACTTTACATATCAATATCACAATCGTCCATTCCATTGACTAAAACCCTCATATGCATCAGCCTTTTTGTTAAAAGGAGGCCCCATGTAGAAGAGGAGAGCAACATTACTTGCGCGTGAATAACAAACTGCTGTTGCATGATGGAGACACTGGTCCTCTCAATTCATCCTACCTCCTACGAATGTAGATGCGACGGTTACTATGGGAACAGGAACATCACCAGTTGGTAAGGGGTCAACATCGACTGAAAAAAGGATTAGGGTAAACATTCAATAATTGTGGGGTATATTTGCACATATCATCCTACTATGTTGATATCGAATTTCGTTACTTGTATCTTATAACTTCTCTCTCCTTTTGTGGAATTTGTAGATATCTACCCAAGTTGCTCTTCTTTCACAGATTTGATATGAAATATGTGATTTATTCAATGTTGATTAAACTAGAGATGGAATATAGATTATAATGTTCAATTTAATAATGTTGATATTTAGCCAAATTAAGTGGAGCGAGAGAAAAATTACTACAATTACAATGCGTCCCGTTATTTTCTTATCATCAACAACATTATAACCAATCAGTCTACTCCCCCCCCCCCCCTCCCCTCACAAAAATTCTAGGAAGGGGGCATTCGGGTGAGTAGGTTTTTAGAACATATCTTAGCGTGACGTTAGACATGTCAACTATCAGGAATAATGAAATTACGCTACATCGATAATTGTTCGACAACTAACCCCGGACTATTCTTGGTATCCTAGGAAATCTATCCTGGACATTTGTCCCCCCCCCCTCCTCCCTGACAACTACCATCTATAAAAGCATCCCTTGGATAAATAATCCAACAAATTATCTCTTGTTTAAGACTGAGGTTAGCAAGGGGTTTATGTGTCTAGGGGATACTGTCTTGTCCGAGTATAAAAGCGCTCGACAGATGACCGGGGGTAACTGGCCTGAGGTACTTGTCCGCTGATCCATGTCTGAGGGGTAGATCTTTGGGTTTTAGTTTCGGGGGTAGATGTTGAGTCACACATTGAAACAGGTGAATTTTGTCTAACAAATTTCAGGTTCTAAACATCTTTAGCATATAGGTTTAGATTAGTACTTTGCTCAGAAAAAGACAGTGTTCGCCGTAGTTCCACTTTTCCGTATTCGACTTGCACCTCGGTCACAAATCCAAGTAGCGGACTCCAAACTGATTCCAAACAGACCAATTTAGCACAATGTAATATTTTGTTCGGTCAGTTGTCGCGGTGTCGGTTTGACTGAGAAATACATATCCATTACCTTTATCACACAAACGACTCCGAAAGCCTTGGTGACAGTTAATTCCCTTATTTTCTCTTAAATTGCTTTCATAATGTTATGCCGTATTCTATATCAAGACACAATAATCTAAATATGAATATCTTACCATTGCAAGTTCTTCCATCCATGTCTAACACATAACCAGCAGTGCAGGAACAATTGAATGTACCAGGCATGTTTGTACAAACACCATTAGTCGGATCACACGAGTCTAGATGAAAACCACACTCATCGACATCTATATGAAAGGGGAATTGAAAACATTTAAAAGAAATTTTAATTGAAAATAATATTGAAGAATATGGTGCATCAAAGAATGCATGTTGTGCAGGTCCAACAGAATAAGTGATACAATAAAATAATGACGATATTAATTTAAAAGGTGAATTTGAAGATTCGGTTCTTTTAGCCAAAATATTTAAGTGTGTTTAGTTATCTCTGAATATTTGTGGCCTAGATAACCTATTAGGGTTTTAAAATTTCAAAATATCCTTTTTAACAATATTCATGTCATACCATCATACCTTATAGGCTTGTGAATGCTTTCTAAGATTTCGTTATTCCTGTATTTTCTCTTAAATTACCTTTAAAATGTTATGCCGTATTCTATATCGAGACACAATAATCTAAATATGAATATCTTACCATTGCAAGTTCTTCCATCCATGTCTAACACATAACCAGCAGTGCAGGAACAATTGAATGTACCAGGCATGTTTGTACAAACACCATTAGTCGGATCACACGAGTCTAGATGAACACCACACTCATCGACATCTATATGAAAGGGAAATTGAAAACAATTAAAAGAAATTTTAATTGAAAATAATATTGAATAATATGGTGCATCAAAGAATGCATGTTGTGCAGGTCCAACAAAATAAGTGATATAATAAAATAGTGACGATATCAATTTAAAAGGTGAATAAGAAGATTCGGTTCTTTTAGCCAAAATATTTAAGTGTGTTTAGTTATCTCTGAATATTTGTGGCCTAGATAACCTATTAGGGTTTAGAAATTTCAAAGTATCCTTTTAAACAATATTCATGTCATATCATCATACCTTATAGGCTTGTGAATGCTTTCAAAGATTTTGTTATTCCTGTATTTTCTCTTAAATTACCTTCATAATGTTATGCCGTATTCTATATCAAGACCAAATTTTCTAAATATGGGTATCTTACCATTGCAAGTTCTTCCGTCCATGTCTAACTCATAACCAGCAGTACAGGAACAACTGAATGAACCAGGCAAGTTCGTACAGACTCCATTAGTCGTATCACACCAGTCTGAATGAACATCACACTCATCGACATCTGTATGGAAGTGGAATTGAAAGGAAAAAATGAACAAAAATAAACACACACATAGATATTGAGTGAGCCAGATAAAATCATATCTGCATCACGTAATACTTCATTGTGATTTTCCAATACATGTATCTAGGTAATTGAGTAGTCTATTTCACTAAGAATGGGTTGATTTTTCGATAAATTATGTGTCATCCTAAACCCTTAACTTGAGCATTCTGGTCTAAATTTCTACTTCAGTTTTTTCTTTCTTCTGTTGGAATCCGAGTAGAAGTATACCCAGGCGGGCATATTCTAGTGTAGTAACTTTACATATCAATATCACAATCGTCCATTCCACTGACTAAAACCCTCATATGCATCAGCCTTTTTGTTAAAAGGAGGCCCCATGTAGAAGAGGAGAGCAACATTACTTGCGCGTGAATAACAAACTGCAGTTGCATGATGGAGACACTGGTCCTCTCAATTCATCCTACCTCCTACGGATGTAGATGCGACGGTTACTATGGGAACAGGAACATCACCAGTTGGTAAGGGGTCAACATCGACTGAAAAAAGGATTAGGGTAAACATTCAATTGTGGGGTATATATGCACATATCATCCTACTATGTTGATATCGAATTTCGTTACTTGTATCTTATAACTTCTCTCTCCTTTTGTGGAATTTGTAGATATCTACCCAAGTTGCTCTTCTTCCACAGATTTGATATGAAATATGTGATTTATTCAATGTTGATTAAACTAGAGATGGAATATAGATTATGATGTTCAATTTAATAATGTTGATATTTAGCCAAATTAAGTGGAGCGAGAGAAAAAATACTACAATTACAATGCGTCCCGTTATCTTCTTATCAACAACATTATAACCAGTCAGTCCACTACCCCCCCCCCCCCCCCCTCCCCTCACAAAAACCCTCAATTCTAGGAAGGGGGCATTCGAGTGAGTAGGTTTTTAGAACATATCTTAGCGTGACGTTAGACATGTCAACTATCAGGAATAAAGAAATTACGCTACATCGATAATTATTAGACAACTAACCCCGGACTATTCTTGGTATCCTAGGAAAACTATCCTGGACATTTGTCCCCCCCCCCCCCCCCTCCTCCCTGACAACTACCATCTATAAAAGCATCCCTTGGATAAATAATCCAACAAATTATCTCTTCTTTAAGACTGATGTTAGCAAGGGGGTTATGTGTTTAGGGGATACTGTCTTGTCCGAGTATAAAAGCGCCCTAGTAGACAGATGACCGGGGGTAACTGGCCTGAGGTACTTGTCCGCTGATCCATGTCTGAGGGGTAGATCTTTGGGTTTTAGTTTCGGGGGTAGATGCTGAGTCACACATTGAAACAGGTGAATTTTGTCTGACAAATTTCAGGTTCTAAACATCTTTAGCATATAGGTTTAGATTAGTACTTTGCTCAGAAAAAGACAATGTTCGCCGTAGTTCCACTTTTCCGTATTCGACCTATACCTCGGTCACAAAGCCAAGTAGCGGACTCCAAACTGATTCCAAACAGACCAATTTAGCACAATGTAATATTTTGTTCGGTCAGTTGTCGCGGTGTCGGTTTGACTGAGAAATACATATCCATTACCTTTATCACACAAACGACTCCGAAAGCCTTGGTGACAGTGGCATCTGAACGACTTCTTAGTCTCCTCACACCATCCATTCTGACAAGGGTTGCTAGAACAGTCTGTAGGTTAACAATAAGACATTTCTATTGGAGTACTCGGTTAGAAACACTGGTTGAAGTCCCTCCCGAAAGGTACCATCGGAACACTTTTAAAATTGAATGTGAGGATTTAGTTCTTACAAGTTGCACCGTTGTGGACATGTAGTCATGGATCTTAATCATAGAAATCTGAACATATGTTGTAACGGGGAATTCGACACGTTCAATCTCCCCAACGCCCCTCTCCCCACTCCGATACACCCGCCCTTCTTGGTCTTGAAAAAATTGTTGATCTATTAATATTTAGGGGTAGGGTAGGTGTAGGGAATTGGAGACCCTTAAGCACATTTGCATAATATACATAAACATGAAAAATGTTACACATACAGAGAGTGTTGTATTCTCTTCAGTAACTTCTTCTCTTTATTTGGTAACAAATTGTGGTCATGATGTAAATAATAATAATAATAATAATAGTGGGTTCTTGTATAGCGCTCATGTCAGTCAGATTTGACCCTCCTGGCGCTCCCGATTATTACCCTGGCTTTAGCACGGCTGCCATACGGCGCTCTAGCATTTCAAGGAATAAATTCCTACCAGGTAGGAATGATTAATAAGATAACAATGATTAATGACGCCATCACCGAAGGTCTCTCATTACCTACATGCAAGGGTATCGATTTGTATCCGTGGTAGGGGGGATGATAGGTGCCAACAAATGTTCGGCAATGGATCAAAGCAACAAAGAGGTAGAAGCGTATGGCAGGTTGCCCCCTACCTTCCAAGTAATTAACTTTTTCAAGTCACCCTCAATAAAGATAACATTTCAGAGAATAAAATCGTGGTAATAAAATTAATAACATGCTAAATGTTGGTCTGTTTATTTATTTGCGAGCGAGCGAAGCGACCGAGGAAAATTTTTAAGATTTGTGAGGTCGCAGTGCGAAAAATACAAAGACTAATTGTCAGAGGTGAAAAATAGGGCACTTCTTACACCCTCAAAAAGAGGCACTCACCAGGGGAAAAGGTCAGTCATGGGAATAGGGAATGCCGGGCATTTGTCGACGGAAAATGGACTCCCATAGGGGCATTTATAAAAGATGAAAAAGGGCATTTATGAAAAGGTGATAGGTCCCTTATTAGAAACGAAAATGGGCACGTATCATTGTTAAAAGGAAAATTATGAAAAGAGGCACTTATCGCACCTGAAAAGGGGCAATGACCAAATATCAAAAAAGGGCATTTATGTGAATGAAAAAGGGGCACTTATAAGAAAGGAAAATGTTCACTAGTTGAAAGAAAATGATTTTAAAGGGGCATTTATAGAAGGTGAAGGGGGCACTTATCTGTAGTGAAAAAGAGTAACTTCTCGTACCTGAAAAGGGTCATTTACCAGAGAAAGGGTACTTATGAGAATGGAAAATGGACACTTATTGCAAAGAAAAATGGGAACTTGTCGAAGGAAAAGGGGCGCACTACCAAATAAAAGGGCACTTATCAGAGTTTAAAAGTTGAAGGGGCACTTTTACTAATTAATAGGGGCATTTGTCAAAGTAAAAGGGCACTATTCTTATGTAAAAAGGGGGACTTTTCCTGTTTAAAAGGGGGTAAGTGCCGGGTGCGTGAAAAATTGGAGGGGGGCACTGTGCCCTCTCTGCCCCCGGGAGGGCCGCCTCTGGTCTGTTACTTAAAAACATAATATAAAACTTACGTTCCAACTACCAAACAACAAAATTCCATTATCTCCTTCTTCGCCCAGATATACTTATCACACCATAATTATACGCTCTAAAATATAAGCACAATATTCCCCTAAGGCCCTGACCAGAGCACTATTTTTTTTCTTCAAAAACTACAACCAGTCTTAGAAGGTGCATTATTATTGGAAGGGTGTTATAAATAAAACTTCAAACTTAATAACATTCTAACCTTAAAAAAACACCCTAATTATCTTATGCCTGTTACGTTTGAATACAATACATAGGCCTACATCAGCTTTTCAATAAAACAAAAATAAGTTGTGACATAATAATCTTTCTCCTAAATATCGAACTGGAGTATTCTCTTGTATTGCTTGTTTATGTACATACAGAGAGCTTATTTTCAAGAGGCACTAGATCCATGTGTGTAATTTAAGAAAGATCTATTTGTTTACCCGATTTTGTTCAGGTGTCCATGGAAAATTGTTATTAAAAGATGCATGTGTTCATAATTTCTCTCGTAATTTAGCTTTATAATTTTGTTCAAGGTAAATAGAGGAAAACGTTTATCATTATCTCTATTTGCTATCAAAAGATTTTGCTCCTTTCGGAAAATAGCTCTTCAAATGTTTTACATGTAGACATATAAATAAACAAAGAAATGGATGAAATCATAAAAACAAAATAGATACTGAGTATGGATCAGGGAACAAACTGGAAGTTACGTGTCCTACATGCTGCCATTTGGACAAAACAGTCTTTCTCTTCAATGATACAATATTTTATTACTTTACTTGCATTATGAAAAAATAACGCATCATCAACCCCACTTAGCTTTAAAATCACTTCAGATTCAACTGGCCACAAGTCATGGGATATTCTTGCCCAGATGCTTTCCTTTACCTTTAAGAGTTCTTTACATTGAGGAATTTGTTGAATTTTTTTTTCTTGGCAATAATGCACAAATTAAAAGAGTTAAACAAATACACGACAGTAACTTTTAGCGCGTTTTGAAAAATATTTTAGGAAATATCAGGAAATAAAATGAGTGAAAAAACAAACAAATAAAGATACAATGACGTGAATTTTAAAAAGGATGAACGGAAACAACATAACAACTAGTGAACTATCTTACAAATCATAGCAAAATGTGTATATTGATGGTCATCTTGCGAGTAATAACCATTAACTACTCTCATCGTGCTCTCATCATTAATTGTTCTCTTCATTTTTTGTTTTTAATGTGAATTATTGGGGGGATGATTGTACAAGCCATCCCCCCACCTGAAATATTGGGGGGATATATCCCCCCCTCCCCCCTCCCCCCTCCCCCCCTCCCCCATCCCCCCCCCCCCGGGATCGACACCCATGCCTACATGTGTAGGTAATAAGGGACAGTTACTAATCAAGACATTTTAAATACAATTTGAATGAAAGTGGGATTATTATAGTTAGTTCAAACACTTTTGAAAGAGATACATGAGTAGTTATAGCAGTGAGTTCCGGGACGACCATAGGTTTTGTACACGAATTTTTTTGTACTTATACTATTTCTAGTTGACTCGTGTACATTAACTTTGACATAGTCTATTTTCGAGAAAAAACGGACTTATAACACGCGTGTCTATGGGGTTTTGACGAAGTCTTGACTTTTTGAATTTAATTAGGGATTTGTCTCGAAAAAACTGACTTATAACACGCGTGTCAATGTAATTGTGACTTTATGAATTTTACTTAGTGATTTTCTCTGTTGGACTTAGATTTTTTTTCAAGCTAAAAGTGAATTATAACACGTGTTTCTATGTGAATTTTGATACTTTGAATTTTACTTAAAGATTTTTAGGAATTATTGACCTTTTGAATAGTGCATGATAGAAATTTTCTTTTTTGGAACTGACTTTTAACATGTGTGTCTATGGAATTTTGACTTTTTGACTTTCTTTCTACCGGTATACTTTGTGTTTGACTTTCTAAGGAACGTTTACAAAGCCGTTGTAGGTTGTATCAATTGTTGTTCTATTGTATCAATTGTTGTTCTATTGTATCAATATCTATTGTTCGATCAACTAAATAAAGGAATGTGTATTTACCCATACTGTGATCCTCGCATGGCAACACGGGGAAGCGTATTGTAGCCTATATGTGTAAAGGGTATTGATTTT